ACATGGACTCCTACTTTGTAAAATCGTTAAATTTCCCTTCAGATTAATATAAATAATGCTTTTAATTTTAACTTGACCACACATTACAGATGAAAACATCTGCTATAATTTTGTGAGAATGTTTAAAAGATTTGAGTTTTCAGTTTACTATTTGGTCAGACTAAAAAAAAAAAAAAATGAAGATTAAACTTGGTAACCACAGAAAAAAAGTATCTGTTTCTTGTGTAGTTGGGATATGTGGTTCTCATCACAGAATAGAATCAAATGGATAAGGCAGTAATGATGCAGTTCAGTTGTAATATGTTTGCCCAGCCTGCTTGGGTTCACACCCAATACAGCAAAAAATAAGGCAAAGCACAGACACCTGTGTTCACTGGGCTTCCCTTCTTTGCAAGTGTTGCACGAGATTCTTACCCTGTCAAATTCCTTCTTTGATGCTTTATTCCCTTAGGAGATTTCCATATAAGGATTATTTATGAAATGAAACAGTTCTTTAAATTATTCACTTTTAAGTGTACTGAATACTAAATCAAAACTATAACAGAATATAGTGTTATGGTGAAGTTCACAAAAAAACTGTGACTTCTAATTAGATGGTATAAGCAATCAGAGAAACTTATGGAATAATGTTGCAGGTACTGTATGACAGGTTTTTCACCTGCGGACAACTTAACTGAGCCAACAAAGAAAACTAAACAAAATATCAAAGAATTAAGTGATAGCACTTTTCTGTCTTTTGCACTCCAAAACCTTATATATAGATTTCAATCAAGTCATCATTTTGAGAGATTACATTTTAGTTTAATACATAAATCTTTAAGAGTTCTTCAGCATTTTTTATATGAGTGTCTTAAATTACCTTTGTTAGGTTCATTATTTGACATACTACTTTTCGTTCTCTCTTTTGGACTTTTGGACAGAATCTCCCTATATGGTCCAGGATGGCCTTAAACTTTTGGTCCTCTTGCCTCAACCTCCTGATTTTAGCTGGGTGGTGTGTTCAATCATACACAGGTCTAGATATGGCTGATTTTTACTTAAAATTCTGGAGGTATGTAACAAAAATGCTTTTTAATGATGTCTGGATAAAAAAAAAACCATGTTTCTGAAAATCTGACTACCATCCTAAGATCTTTTTTATTTAAAAAGAGAAGGAAGAAAAATATCAGATACCATGGTATTTTGGCTATAATAAAATTTGCTTGGAAGTTTTTCCTGAGGACCTTCTGGCCATTACAATAATTTACCCTACATTATTTTTTGAGATTATAATTTAATTATATCATTTCTCCTTTCCCTTCCCTTTCTACAAACCCTCCCACATACACTCCTTCCCTCTCTCCTTCGAAGTCATGGCCTTTTCTTTTCATTGTTACTGTATGCATGTGTATGTATGTATACACATATATATTCCTAAATGTAACTTGTTCAGGTTGGGTAATGTTACTTGTATGTATGTTCTCAAGGCTGACAGTTTGGCACTGGATGACTGATCGGTGTGCTCTTCCCTGGGGAATAGCACCTTTCCTGCCCCCCACTTTCCTCAGTTGCCCACAGTTTTACAATTGCTTCTCTTACAACAGATGGAGACCACTACAGAAAATCACAGCCATTTTAATCATTTAGCACTTCTTTTAGCAGGATGCATATTTGCTATTTTTATATGAAAATATCTTTATTTCATCCCGGCTTTTAAATACCTTATGCTGTAGCCAATATTTCTTCCAGCACTTTGAACATGATTTGACTTCTGATTTTTTCCTACTTAATAGCAGTTCTTTAAATTCCTGTTACATTTATTTATACACGTATGTATGTGTGTATGGCTTGAGTGACCCTGTGGTCCAAGGGATGGAGCCCAGGTCCTCAGGCTTCAGCAGCCACACCTTCCCGTCCGCAGCAGTCTAGCCCGACCCTCCCTTTGAAGACCTCTTCATTCCGTCTCTCAGGCCTGTGCTTATCCCCACAATTCTTCTCATTATGTGTCTATAAGTTGTTTTTTTAAAATGTGTCTTGAGATTTGTGCACTTTCTGAATCTAGTAACTCCTGTCTTCCTGTATTCAAGACCAAACAACCCCGTCCAATATTTCTATCACCTTGTTCTCTGTCTTTTCTTATCAATAGCAATGAAACCTCTTCACTACTTTCCACACACCTCTAGTCTTTCCCTGGCATTCATCTTTTTGTTTCCTGGCGTTTCCTTCCAGACGCCATCTTCTTACCCAGCAGACTGCTGCTGCCTGGGGTGCTGCGCCTTCTTCTCCCTCCTTGCCTCCTACCCCTGTCTATCTGTCTGTCCTTTTGTCCTGGAGATCAAAACTATGGCCCAACTCATGCTAGGTAAGGGCTGCACTGCTGACCTATACTTCTAGCTTCTTTAATTCTAAGATACTTAAAACCATCCATTTTTTTCTTAATTTTGGTCACTTATTGTTACTTTATAACTTAATTCTAAATTTTCATGTGTGCCATGTATGTTCTGTTTTCCATGGCTTTTATTAAATGTTTTATAGTAAGGTGTAAGATCGCACAAAGTTCTAAGAAAGAACAGGGGTTAGTATACCCTTCATGTAGCTTCCCACCAAGTCTCCAGACGGTAGAGTGGAAACTGATTCTAACAGGAAGATGGCACCTCCCTTAAGGATCACTTGTTTTGTTGTCTTACAACCACACCTACTCCTTCTCATCCCACTTTCCCTCTTTCTCCAGAAATCAGTAGTATCTTGAAGCATCTATAACGATGTCATCACAAGAACATACTGGCGTGTCTCTACCCTGTTGTTCACTGCATTCTGTCCTGTTGTGGTGCTGCAAATGAACCCAGGGCCTTGTGTATACTAGAAAAATGCTCTTCCACTGAGCCATACTTCCATCCCCAAGGACATGTAAGAAAAGAATCCTTTTATAATTTATAATTACATTCATCCAATCTAAGTCTCCGGAGATTCAGCCAGGTTGTTGTGTATATCAATATTTCATTCTGTCTTATTGCCAAGTAGTAGTCTCTGATAGGAGCGCTCACAGATTGCTTTAATTACGTATCTACTGATGGACGTCTGTCTGTTTTCTTCAGCTTGTGTATCTAGGAATAAAGTGCTGTAAACATCTGTAGAGTCACTCTCTCTGGATACTTTAGATGCCTGCTGGAGTTCATCCTTGCTACTGCCACAATCCCAAGTGATCTGCACTGATGTTGGAGTATCTAATAACTGTTGAGAAACAGTGTAAATTCTGATTATTTTACTGCCTTTGGTGGGAGAATAGGGGTGCAACTGATCCGTGCTGGGTAGCTTGGTAGGGAGGAAGGCAAGCTTCCCATGTGGTTTCTGTTAGTGCTAGGGTACTTCTTAATATGGAACATTAGAGTACCTGTAGTGGGTAGCTCTTCCGGCTTTGACCTTAAAGCACCACCCCACTGAGGCAGCCGGTAACTACCATGCCTACCTAGGACCTGCCTCTAGGGCGTGGCTGAGACAGGAGCCCTTAAGACCCCAGATCTGTACATGCTGGCCCTCTCTTGGCTCCTCAGATCCTGGATGCTGGACTGTAGACCAAGTCAGAGTTCTCCAGAGAACCATGCTAGACTGCACCTCACCTCTCCCAGATCCTGTAACCAACCCCTCTACTGGCTGTAAGTTACCACAAAATAAACCTCCTTTTAACTACTAGATAAACTACATGGAGTTGCCTTGTTAAATCCCCAATTAAGTGCCAGTTTTCTATCCAGCCTTAACTGACAGGACCCTACCATGATGAACAGCGGTAGAAAGAGTGTAAGAGCCAGAGGAGGCAGATGATGCCAAGACAACAGTGTCTTCTGGACACAGCGGGGCAGTGGCACATATGAACTCAGGGCAGTTGTGACAGCATGCACAAGTCCATGCATGCCCAAACCAGACCAAGTTCCAGTATGCAAAGGGGTGATGAGCACGAAGTTCCACTAACTGAGGAGCTCTCAGCACTGGTGAAGGGCTGGGAAAGGAAGGATTAGTTGGTGTAGTCCCTGTCTGAGAAGTCAAATACACTCCACTGGAATGGCAAACCTCCAAGACTATTTGGGCAGCACAAATTAAAACCTTATTGGGGGAAATAAAAAGGCAAAATATTGGCTGTGGAGGGAAGGAACATAGAACTGGGAAGAGTTGGGGGAAGGAGAGTTGCATATATTCACAATTTATTGTATACTCTTCCTAACACTGAGAAAATATACCCTCTAACCTTCAGCCCCCAGTTTTCCTCAGTGAATATTTCTGCTCTGCTGTTCCCTAAGTTCAAAAACATGTCACAAGATGCATTGTCCAACTGAAAATCTACACAGTGGAGGCTTGTTAACCTGAGTATTTGGATTCGAAAGTCTTATTTGGAGACCCAGTTTGAGCTCAGTAGAAGCACAGATTTCTAGGGCTTCTGATGGACCCTCCTGCAATATCTGAGTGTCAGTGTGTGTCAGAATCAAGGGAGATGGGAATCTCTGCTTTAGTTACAAAGCTTCACTGGAAGGATTAGCCAATCCCTTTAATACTAATAGAACAAGTGATGTATCAGGAAGGTGATCTTACTAATGGAGGGACCACCATCTACTCACTTCCAATTGACTGCCAGACAATGTACCACGTGCTTTACGTTCACGGTCACATTATCTGCACTCTTATTCCACTGGCACCGATGATAAAATGTGCCGAAGTTAGGGACATCCCTGTTCCTCTCTGCTTGGGCCAATTCTGGGCCACACTAATTATCCTTGAGTAATTATTAATAAACTCCACATTCTCTCTCTCAAAAGAAAAGTTATTTTCAAGAATTACATGAACAAAAACTTATTATAATTTAGCCTTCATAAATTTACCCAAATAGTAAAAATTCAGTTATCTAACACTATAACATAGTCATTTGTTTACTTCTTGTTTGGTTACTTGGTATTGAACTGAAAATATTTCATGTCCTAGGAAAACTATCTACCTCTGGGCCCCAGCATAATTACAAAGTAAAATTCTCATACCATTTTGTGATGCCGTAATAATCTTTAATAATATTCTGCAGAACAGCACGATAGAAGAGTGATTCAGTAGGCAGCTGAAAAAAATGCAGATATATGTATAAGAATAATAAATAAATAAAACCCAGAAACAAAATTAATACTAGACTTGGGAACTTGTAAATGTTACAAACCTGACTTTGCTGTTAAACGAATAGTAGGATTTTTATAGTTTTTCTACTGTAAATTAAAGGATTACCCTGAGACTAACTCACTGAGAAAGTAATTCTGAAACAAAACAAGAAACCATAAAAGGAATCGCAGGAAATGGGGAAAGATCATAATCAATAAAAATTAAGCTATTGCCCCAAATGGATTACTCATCAGCTAAAAGGGTAAAGATAAACTTTCAAGTCCACCCACACCATCTCTGAAGTCCAGCAGAGTCAGGAAGGACATGTGCGAAAAGAACCTGATGAGGCCCTTTCCTAAGTGATGTGGACTAGAGGTAAAACCTAGGATTCGCACTGTGCCGGACAGCGCCTGTGTGAAATGTTTTAAAAACCATGTCCAAAGCATGAAAGATCACAGCACCACAGCGTTGAAGAGTAGAGAGAAAAAGGACAAAGGAAACAGGAAACACTGCTTGTAGGAGAAAAACAGAGAGGTGCCTCATGAATGTTCTAACTTTTTTTTTCAAGTTTTATTTTATTTTTTAAATTATATGCGTGTGTGTGTGTGTGTGTGTGTGTGTGTGTGTGTGTGTGTGTGTGTGTGTGTGTCTGCATTCAGGCATGTGTACAGGTGTCCCCAGAGGCCCAGAGGTGTTGAAAACCCTGGAGCTAAGAGTCACAGGAGGCTGTGAGCTGTCTAATATGGGTACTGGGAACTGAACATAAAAAACTATAAAAGCCACCAAAATTTACCTCAAGAGAGTTCTGGATACTGACAGTACAGAAGTAAAGAAAAAATAATGCTAGCAACAAGCCAGCATTCATGCAAAAATTACTATTTTCAAAAGAGAAAAATATGTGCCAGGATTAAGGAAGGCCAACAATAATGGATGCTTTGGAGAAGTCAAAGAAGATGAAATTAACTGCCCAATGCCTGGTCAAGTTCTAAGGATAGATTTCAGTGAGGTGAATGTTTTACTGACTTAGTCTTTTCAAACTCTGTTCTCCTGTAAAGTGATAAATTGTAACTTTCACTCATTTTCTTTGGATGCGTGTTTGTTCTTGTATGGATGTGTGTGCACATGTGCCGAGGACAAGCTCGGGTGTTTTTCCACAGGAATGGCCCATGTCTACCTTTCTTGTCGCAACAGGGTCTCTTGCTGGTTTAGACCTCACCAAGTAGACAGGGTGGACTAGTTGGCAAGTGCCAAGGGCTGTTTCTGCTTTGCCAGGGCTGAGATTACAAGTGCAGGTTGCCATACTTGCTTTTTAATATGGGGTCTGAATTCAGGTTATCTGGCGTGCAAGGCAAGCACTTTATAAATTGAGTTAGCTTCCCAACTTTATTTTTTATCTATTTTTAACCAGAATAAATATATTTGAATTCAGCAATAGTCAAACACTAAATAAAACCTTGTCTTTGTTTTAAGGCAGAAAACCCGCCACCTACAAAACATGGGACAAAATCAATTATCATTCCCAAGTTACCGTGAGCAAATAAAAGCTTTACAATTGCTTCCTAAGAGAAAGAGAAATGTTCATTCTTGGAATGACTAGGCTGATCCATCCTGGTGAATGCAGAGGGGAGGGAGAGAGGGAAGGAGAAGACACCCATCCTTTCCCAAGCAGCCTGTGCCTGACTCTTCTAGGAGTAAACTGGGTGTGGCTCAGAATTGACTTTCCTTCCTTCACAAGTGATAAAGCCACCTAACTTTTAGTGAATTTTCAAACCAGGAAAAAACAGAGTGTATACCCTGATGCATGCATTACTCATTCGATCGATGCACAGGACTACGGCAGAGGGCACAAGCTACAAGTCATGGTTCTGTAACTAATTTAGGGAGCCAGACTGTATCATTAAACTTCTGCTGCATATCATGTTCTTATGTAAGGTTAAAATAATATCCAACTCCTCAGACTGAATGGACGCATGAGCAAAAGCTTGGAAAACAAAAAAACAATCACACGAGTCGACACCAACGTGATAGAGGTTCCTCGCTTTCCCACGGCCCCAGGGAAACACTAAGGTAGCATGTACTGTAGAAGTCAAGGATGTCGAGTGGGAGGAGAGATTGCAGTCCCAGAGTTTGTTAACTTCCAGTTGCCTCCTGCCTATCAGGGCACAATCATGACCCATAACTCACAGTCCTAGGTATTTATTACCACAATTGACAGGAAGTTTGGAAAGCTCTACATTAGACTGAACTATTATTTTCAAGATAACCATTATTACTGGTGATGACAGCTGACATTGACTGAGCACTTAGTATTCATTTGAAACATTTTACCTGTGTCCCTCACTTTATTTACCATGACACATCTTAGGCAGGCAAAATTAACAGACAGGAGAAAAAGCAACTACCACCACCACCAAAGGACCAATCAAAGTTACTGGTCTAGAGCAAGTCATACTTGCTATTGCAACTATTATTTCTAAAATACAATTAACACTACTGTTCCTTGAAAAAGAAACAATAGATTTTTCAAAATTTAGGTTCAACAGAATAATTTTATGATAATGCTCAAAAATGTTTTTTTTTTTAATTCCTAAGTTTCATGAATACACAGACGATAATACAGTTAATGGATATTTAGGACATATCAAACTTCTACTTATACTTGTAAGCCTGTTTAGCTATTTCAACTTATTAAATTGAAAAAGTTATCAAATAAAAAAATGAAACATGTTTTAGATTACACTTCAATAATACATTGCATGTTACATCATTTTCTTTGCTTGAGCTAACCCCATAAAAGCCTGATGGTCAGCCACAGCGTTTGGTAGAAATATTTACAAATTGTAAATACAATATGAAGAAATGAGAGGTTAGTATAAGAGCATAATGTGGAAACTTTCTCAAAGCTCAATATATCGTTCCATAAGTTGACTTTACTTTAAACACACAGAGCATGTATACACTTGAATGTGCAGCGGTGACAAGCAGAGGTGATATTTATTAAAATCCATCAGGTTTCAAGTTCAACAGCAGGTCAAGTCTGAAGAGGGCTTGAGAGAAAAACTATCTAAGTTACATTAAACTCTCACTTACCCCTTGGCCAACTGCAACCCGTTCCAATGCCTTAAAGGAGAAAGAAACAAGACAAAGATTGATGACATATTTAATCTTAGGAGATTTATAAATCTACTCTAGAAGAATTTGCAATACTGACAATCAAAAAGATTAATTAAGTGATAACATGTAAGCTTACATAGTTAAGAGTATCAATATTATTAAAGCATGTTAGCTAATATGCTTATATAAATTGGGAGTAATTTATAATGGAAAAGTGTCATACACACAAACACAATCACAGTCTGATTATACACTCTGAATTGTAGGAGGAATTAGAAAGCCACAGAATTAAAAATGGCAGAGTCTGACTCATGTTCAGTGTGGCTAGACAATCAAATAAAAAACTGCTCTTATGTATGATACCGACATAGATGTGTTTGCAAACTTCTTATTAACATTTTATGATTTATGGGATATATAATTTCATCTTTTTAGTTTTACTTCACTGTTGGGAATTAAACCCAGGTTCTTGTACGTAACTATGCAGGCGATCTATCAGTAAGCTGCCTCCCGACCTCTTCATTTTATCTTTCTTTCAGCAAGCAAACATGAACAGGCTGTAGGTGGAAGAGAATTTTAGGGGGAAAATATAATCTGTATGTTACATGAATTCAAAGCACATTCTCATCGGATCTAGCAGCAGAAGAAATAGAACTTGTTAAAGCGTACAGTGTCCCCACGTGTTCTGAATGCTTGTTTGGTACTGGCACTATTTTGGGAGGCCGTAGAACATTTAAGAGACAGTCTAGCTGGTGGGAACTGGTTACTAGTGATGTCATGATCGCTCTTGCTTTGTGACGTGCAGTGGTGTGAACACTATGCCCTCACTACCATGAGTGGGGCTGCCTCACCCTGCCTCCCTGCCACGATGAATTTAGATCCTCAAGACTGTGAGCCAGCAGAAAGCTTTCCTACAGTGTTACACTGTTAGGTACTATAGTCACAGCGACACAGATGTAACTAATAGAACACTCTGACACACTTTTACAATTTTATGGTATTGATTTTACACTTACACTTAAGAACGCAGACATTTTATATAGTATTTCCTAACATTTCTAATAATCATATTGAACATATGATATTTACTATATAATTTATGTATGGAATAGGACTTTACAAAACTCTTCATTTCTTAGACACACATTTCCACATTTATTGGAATATTAAGTATTTAACTAAATTTCTGTTTTTAAATTTTAATTAGAAAACATTCCAAACATAAGGTAGAGAAAGTATAATTGATCTGCATAAGCTTGCTATTCAAATTTTAAATCTCTGTGTTTTACTTCAGGTTTCTAGGTTTCCATAAATAGGTTTTTTTAGCTATAGTTGAAATAAACACTTTTTGAATTAAAATGTAATGTACAGACTATCTTGTTTAAATGCAATTTTTACATATGTATAAGATCATTGGCATGATCAGTAGCTTACCTGAAATTGAGTAGCTACTTAGCAACTGATCATGACATGTTCTTTGACCCTTTATTAATATCTTTTTTCCTCATGCCCCACAGCTGGGGTGAGGTTTGGGGGTGCTCATTGTATGAAAATGTGCTTCAGTGAGAATTACAGAACAAATGTACATCAAGTTCACGTCCCTAAAAAAGTCTGTTTCAATTTCTTGCCTTTAGGGTATAAGCCTGGCTTGTATGATTCCATGATCATGACATTCTAAGGAATGACTCTCACTCTAACAATATTCTGAGCTTGTTCCATTTACACATAAAATGAAGGATGAGGGGAAATTTCCAGAAGTACATTAAGTGTGCTACATAAGAAAATGATTATTTGAGAATAGATTTCTAAGCTATTCCTAGGATACAAAACCTCTGAAGTTACTTACAAACACATAATAGTAGATCAGTAACTTAAAAACAATGGGCTTTGAATTAATCCATTTATCTAACGACTGGACATTAAACAAATTGTCCAATGTGCTATATTTTATTTTTAAAAAGTTACTCTGTTTAAGTAAACCAACATGTTGTGATGACTGCATATACATAGTGAAATGATTCATACAGGTAAGCAATTTCACATCTTCATTATCGTTTTCTTTTTAAGTGTACGTGATAAGAGCACAGTGCTCAGAATATTTAAGTATATAATACAATATTAATTATGGTCTTGGTTCAATAATTTAGTTTTCTAGATTCATTCTTCCAAACTAACTACAACAGTTAAGCTTTCTAATGATAATTATTCACCTGTAATATTTAGCTTGTTCTTTTGTAAGCTAACATAGTATCATGAACAAAGAAAGCCAAGGGCTAAAGTATGCTACATTTGGGAACACCAGTAAAAGCAAACAAAATAGTTTTTGACGAGCTACTTCATATTACACATAGTTTAATAGTTTCCTATTTTATAAGAAAATTAGAAGGTGAAATGACTTTTGCAAATATACAAAGATACTACCAAACTATGTATAAAGTACTTAACTGATTCTGTGTTTAAGACCCGGTAGTTGAAACATTTCATATTATAAATAAAACAACTACATGTAAACTTTTCTGTGATGCTGCATATAAAATGGATGGCTGAATATCTTTATCATTTTTTTTCACAAATCACATTGTTCAAAAACATTAATGGTTTGTGCTTTGTTAAAATTTGGCATTTAACACAACCTAGCTAAAAAATAATAACATCTGGATAAAGTTCTCATGTTTTCCAGAAAACACAGCCGTACCAAGCACGCTGACATTCTTGCATTACGGCCGCAACACCATCTCTCCTCTTTCAGATAGCGGCACATTGGAAAGCCCCAGTTTTCTTGAGCATATTCTGCAGATGGGAAAAATACGGATTAGTTAAATAAAATTCTTCCTCTTCCAGTTACAATAAATAATCTATTGAGAGAGCAGATCGGTCATTGAGGAAGTCAAACAGTCGGGAAAATGAGGTGGTGACAAGATGCTGAGTAGTGCGTTCCAGTTTGCTAACTGACAGCTTGTTAATGTTATCAGCTGTATTTGCGCAGCAACAGCTATCTTGTGTTTAAGCTCCAGACCTGATATTAGCCAATTTGCCAAAAACTATTTATATAAGATTTAGCAAAAGCAACTTAAAATTGAACAGTCTTCCTGTTGAGTGTAACCATAGGAGACAACTAATAACATACTGGACATTTATTGCTGACCTAACTTTCTAAAATGAAATAAAAATACAACAGCTGGCAACTTATTAAAGAAAGAACAAATTCATTCCCAGCAATAGTGAGGCATCATTTTTCTTGCCGCTGTGGTCACTTTTATGGAATGGAACAGCTGTACAGACTCTTTTTTTTTTCCATTGTTTTCAGAAGCTGTGATATTTTTCTGCTACACTCCCACTTGGCTCAACTGCATTCAAATAACGACAACAAAAACCAACATTTCTCCTGTCAACTAATTCAGACTGATACAACTTGCTAGGTCTCAAACACCTTACATGGAAATACTAAATCCAATATGCTCTTGGGAAGGCAAAGAAACCACTTATATTTTAAATTGCGGTCTCAGAAACAGATATCAACGTTATTAAAATTGTGACAAATAACTGAAAATTGAGATAAACACACATTGTTGTTGGATTAAGAAAAACATACAAGCTTGAAAAACAATCCTTAAAAGAAAATGCAAATGCAACTTAGGTATATTCTACTAAGAAATGTCTGTACTATGAAGGATTGAGTGACTTTTGATTAAAAGAGATAGTTTAAATTTTACGCAGAGCATAGATCACTGAACTATTATATTAAAATTTATAATATACCCCACCAAAAGCCAGACCCAAAGTCCAACTCGTTCTCTACCTTCAGAATTGAGTACTCATAATTCTAGTATTGATATGCTATTCAATATTGTGAAATAATACGCTAAGTGCTTTACCTGTACTGATTTGGTTTAGTCTTTGTAGCAGTTCTATGAACTAAGTATACTATTATTCCTAGGTTTCAGACAGGGAAACTGGGCATAACCAGGTTAAGAAACATACTGATTTACACAATCTCACATGGGCAGTCAGACTCCAGAGTTCATGCTTTCAGTTATCAATCAAGCTGACATCCAATCCTCATTCACAATCTATCTCACTTGCAATTACACAGGATTCATGTAGCATTGAAGCCTACGCAGACTGCAGGGTCGCTGGGCCACTTCTATTTTCAAGATTACCTAAAAGAGTGGTTTGCGTCTCACTGAAGGTTTTATGACTTAAGTGAGACATCATTCTTGCTTAATGGAAGAATTCCCCTAGACAGCCAGATATTACCGCAAAGAGTGAAGTACTGAAGAGCAGGTATGCTATTTTATTTAACGTGGTTACAACAAAGCAGTCACCAATAAAAGCTAATTCCATCCTCTCCTTGTTCTTTGTATTCAGAGGGTTTAAGTGTTGAGACTGAACTGAAATTCCCAGTCTCCCATGGAGTCACTAGAATAGCTAGCTACAGACTAGCTATTCTACATACAGTTGGCTAAATGCAGAAGCAATAGATGCGAATTCTTAGGTTACTGTGGTGGATGTATCTCCCACCCCCCCCCCCACCCCCCTCCAGTCTTTCTCTAGCTGAATGGGATAACTGTGGTAGACCAACTACAGCAATGGAAAAAACGAGGGGCAGAGCACAGAAAATAGAAGACTTAGGAGTCCCTGAAGCTGTTTGTGGTGGTTAACTCCATACCAACTCCATTTGTCACCCGTGGACTGAAACAGAAATAGATCTTGTTTAAACCACTGTCACTCTGATGCTGAATCTATTATTTTTCCTCCACTTCTTCTCAGCCTCTTAGAACAAGTTAAATTTGTATTTAATTAACCTGATCTTCTTAAGAAGCAAACGCCATGGGATAAAGGAAGCAATACCTTAAGAGCACCCACAAAGCACCAAAAGGGCAGTAATTAAATAGTCCTCTCCTAATCATTAGAGAAATCTTTCTAAGGATGTTACAATGGAACAGAGAATTAAATCAAATGAGAAAGTAAGCCACGAGAATATGGTCAGGCCTGTTTCCTACATTCCATGTCTGTAGGTACATCAGCTGAAGGGCAGCATAGTTTTAAAATTCAGTCTGTACTGAATGAACATGGGCAGATACACTTTTTCATGTCATTATTCCCTAAAGAAAAAGGCACAACAGCTCCTTCTATAACATCTACATTTAGGAGGTATCTATTCAATCTTCCATGAAGGTTGCATGAAGATGTTATACTACTTTGTATGAGGAACTAGGACTTCTGTAGCTTTGGGTAGCTCTGGGGAAGCCTGTTTCCAATATCCTGCACAATGTGAGAAACAACAGTATCAAAGATGACTCAATGAAAAACCACAAATAATACCCCCCATGCTTCCAAAGAGATATGGGTCCCAAACAGCTGAATACCTTCTTAATAACTCAAAAATCGTAACTGAACAACAATTTCCCAATCTCTTTAATATGCCAACCAAATACCTGTAGGCAAACAAGCTTGTCCCACTGAAAAGCAGTATGAAAGTTAATTTATTTACTCAAGAACACAACACAAATTCCACTTATATGAACTAACAGAAGACACCCTCAAAACAAAAATAAACAACCCTAAAATCCCCCAAGGGAAGCAGGTAGGCTAACTGCGGCCCTCCACCTCTCTCTTTTCTCCTCACGGTCTTACCCCCAGTTCTGGAGCAGCTCCCACCCCCTCTCTAGTGGATCACACCTCCACTTCCTTCCTCTCCAAACTTCCTTCCCTTCACTCATCACTTTACTCCAGCCGCCAACTTCAGCAGGCATTCCCTGGTAACCTGGCAGCCAGGACTGCTAGGAAAGAAGTAGGCCAGCGAAGCAGGCAGCGGGCTTCAGATCTTCACTCTCCCTCCGCTCCTCCATAGCCAATCCCCCAGTCTCATCCCTGGCAGACTACCTGTTAGGGCCTCTCCTCACTCTCTGCCCCCATCCCCAGGGGAAGCTACTCTGCATGTTACCGAAGGAGAAATACAAACACCAACCTAGTCACAATCCCTCTGATCTACAGTGGTGGCCTGCCTGCCTACAAGATACGCTAGGGCAATGGTGGCACAAAGCCTGTGGGAGTCACAACCAACACCTGATTTGACTTAAGGCCCACTCCATGAGATCGAACCCATACGTGACACTGCTTGGGTGACCAAGAACATGAGACTGAGATAGCTCAGGGACTTAGGGTAAAACCAAACACTACTGTTCTGAAAAAATAAAAATAAAAATAGATAAAATAAAAAGGAGCAATAAAATGATTCATAATGACTTGCTATACTCAAAGGTCAGTTCCTTGCTCACACATCACCAGAGAAGCTTCCTCCCGCATCAGATGGGAGCAAATGTGGAGACCCACAGACAGACAGACATTCTGCCGGGAGTGACAGATAAGAGACCTTGGAACACTTAGCCCCAAATGGGTTGTCTCCATCAAATCCCTCCCCTCAGGGGTCAGGGAACCCCAAGGAAGTGGAAGCAGAAAGCATGTAAGAGCTAAAGGGGCTGGAGGACACCAAGAAAACAAGGCCTTCTAAATTAACAAGATAGATGCACAGAAGAACTCAGACTGAGGCAACATGCACAGGGTTTACACGGGTCCGCACCAGATGGGGATCTAGAGCTGAATAGAGAAGCGGAGACATGTCTCCATCCCAATCTCCAATTGATAAGCACTTGCAAATGAAAACTGAGTTTTCTCCAAGGGAGTCTCACTGGGGAAACAACTCTTTAAGGGTAGGCTGCATGTTCATCAGTAGGTGGCCAACAGCAAACAACAGAAAAACTCAAAGGCATAGTTGGAAAGTTCCTTGTCTCATAATGTAAGGGCTTTTCCTTTTCAAAAATTTTATATACATACATATATATATATATATCCTTTATGTATATAGTATGGCTTATAATTTACTGTGTTTTATTTTTTATGGGATTCCTGAGGGTGTTGAGGAGTGGTTCTCTGCATCTATATCTGTTTCTCATGCCTTTTGTTGGGCTTTTTTTCCTTCTGTGTTTTTTTTTCCCCTATTCCAGTGTGTTAGTTTGTGTTTTATCTTATTATATTTTATTATTTTCCCTTAGGAGCCGGTTTGTTTTCTAATGAGAGATAGAAAGGGGGTGGACCTGGATGGAAGGGGAGGGGGAGGAACTGGGAGGAGTAGAGGGAGGGACACTGTAATCAGGATATATTATGTGCAAAGATATTTTCAATAAAATGGAAAAAATACATGAACACTGAAAAAACATACTCCAACCCCAAATAATGGGCTTATAATGAAAAGCATAACTGCACTGCAACGCATCTCCCACTGCAAGAAGAAAAAAAAGTATGTTTAACTGCCTGCAAATAGGTAAATAGACCCTCTTATGGTGAGGAAGAAAATTTAGACTGAAAAACATTACTTAATACTAGATTGAAAGAAATACAGAATTCCTGGAAAAGTAAATTATTATATTGGCAGGGTCTATCATTACCAGGAAAAAGAATTAATAGTAAAAAACTCATGGCCAAGTTATTTCTGAATCTCGGAACTACAGGAACTGTGAAAAGTAACAAATTATTGTGGCTGAAAATATGAAGTCTCAGGATTGGTTTCCTTCACAGCTTTAGGGCACAGATACAATCTTGGAATTAGCAATGAATTGTAAGGAGGTAATTATCCCACACCAGAGATTGGAAATAGAGAAACCCACTGCTGGAGGAAGTGTGTTTCCTTAGGGGAAAGGACAGGTTTTCATTCTATAAAAAATAAAAGCCATTAGAGCTTTTATATAACATATATTAACAGTTGTTACATATATTAACAGATGTTACAT